TAGTTATTCAATAAATAATGTCAATTATATAAAATCCCGACTTGCTGGTGTGAAATTTTGGATTTTGCTATGTTAGAAGGAGATTATATAGTTTATATAATGTCATTTATGGGAAAAACTTTATACTAATATACAACTGTCCTCTAGTTTTGCCCACTAATACTAATGTTTATATAACCATGAATAACTTGGAAAAAAATGAAGTGGAGTTGGTTTAATAGAAAGACAGCCTATCTAGAACCATCCCTGATAGCATGTTGTAAATGGGATTACTCTAGCTCTGAAATGACACTTAACAATATATAAATGTCTTGCTGCTCCAGGTATCAGGCAGGTATGTGCAACATCATACTAAGGACATAGCTGAGGCCTCAATAGGAAACTACAGCACCACCAAACAACAGAAAAACTAAAGACATAAAACTCATTCCATTGTGCTCCAAAGGCCTTTGATTTTTACAAATCTCTCTCTTAACCTCAGTTTCTGAGTTAGTTGGTCAGAAAATCTAAAACTGCAAGTAAGGTTGGTTTTAGTGATGCACTTTAGCCAGGGCAAAAAGATAGCAAGACTCCCCCATTTCAACAAACAAGCAGAGTCTAGTGGAAAACAGTTGTAATACCAGCCACTCAGGAGCTAGAGATCAGAATGATCGCAGCCTAAAGCCAGCACCTGGCAAAAAGCTCAAGACCTTATTTGAAAAATAACTAAACCAAACAGTGGGCTGGAGGTGTGGCTCAAGTGGATTGTCTGCCTAGAAAGAATAAATTCAAATCCCAGTGCCACCAAAATGAAACAACAAAAAATAGATAAATTGACAAAGAAAGGAAAAGGCAAAGTGAAAAGGAACAGGGTTACATAAGAACTGACAGCAAGGAAAGGATAAGAATGACAAAACTAAAAGGAGATCTATAAATGTCTAATAATTTACTCTCAAGTGTATCAAGCAAGCAATCCTGGAGGAAGAATTATAGCTTCAGGACATCATTGAAATAGGATATCTGGTTATTTTGTTCCTCCTGTTCTTTTCTATTATTGTCATTTTTTAAAAAATACAGAGAAGCCCAGAGTTCAAGCCCCAAACTGACCCCAACCAAAACATTAAAAAATAAAAAACACAGATTCTTAATAATTCTATTATTTTGAAATATAACATCTGAATAATTGGCCTGATCATAAAAGATCTATAACCTACTTCCCAAAGATAACTACCATTTATAAATGTACCAGAAATATACATTTTTAGGTGTCTTCACATGTTAAAATGTGTGCAGAACCTTTTCATTTCATTTTTATTTATTTTTCAAATCTTGGGGCTTGAGCTCACAATATAGGCACAGTCCCTGAGCTTTTCTGTGCAAGGCTAACACTTGAGCCAGTTTCATATCCAGATTTTGGGTGGTAAATTAAGATAAGAGTGTCATAGGCTTTCCTGCCTGGTCTGACTTTGATTCTCAAATTTCAGCCTCCTGAGTAGTTAGGATTACAGGCATGAGACACCAGTGCTGAGCTTTGTGTTTTTTTAACCTGACATTTTCCAACTCAAAAAGTTTTTGCAAGCCGGGCACCGATGGTTCACGCCTGTAATCCTAGCTACTCAGGAGGTTGAGATCTAAGGATTGTGGTTCAAAGCCAGCCGGGGCAGGAAAGTCCATGAGACTCTTATCTCCAATAAACCACTAGAAAACAAGAAGTGGCGCTGTGGCTCAAGCGGTAGAGCACTCTCCTTGATCTGAAGAGCGCAGGGACAGCGCCCAGGCCCAGAGTTCAAGCCCCACCACCAACCAAAAAAAAAAAAAGTTTTTGCAGAATGATCTCAACAGCTAAATATTATTTGTTCTATTATCACAGATTTTTGGTTGGTATAAAGTATTTAATAACATAAGCTATACTGTATACACAAGCTGTTTTTTAAAATGATTATTTATGAGGTCTAGGTAAAATAAAATTTTCATTAGAACAGCTTATCAATTACCAAGAACAGAAGTAAACAGTTGTGGTTATCAAATACAATAAAGTTTAATGAGCAAATAAGATTTAGAGAACCAAGTCTAACTAATTTTGGAAACTGCTTCTGATATCAATATGAAATTCCTAATTAACATTCTGAATTCTATTTTAAAATTATACTGTTATTAAATTATAACCATTCCAGTAAAATCAGTACCCATGATGGACTCAAGTCAATCTGCTCATTCATTCAATAAGCAAAGATTGTCCAATGCCTGTCTCTTCCACTATAACTGAGTAACTAGAAAGAAGAAACATAGGGCAGCTTCTCTCCATTTCCAGGTCTTGATAAAATAGGAACACAATACAGGTTTGCTGAACTACTTTTTTAAATATTTTGGTGGTGAGGACAGAACCCAGGGCTTTGCACCCTATAGCCTAGAGCTACACCCTCAGCTTCAGAATAAAACTTACAATACAGTTTTTCAGTCCCAACTGAAATGTATGTATGTTTATACAAAGAAAATAATGTGTCACTACCTTTATTTATTTTTATTGTTATTATTAAAGGTGATAAACAGAGGGGTACAGTTCCATAAATCAGGAAATGTTATATTTCTTTTTGGACAATGTCACCGCTTCCTTTGCTCTCTCCCAGCTTTTCCCTCGCATTCCCATCCACAAGTTGTACAGTTTATTTTCAACATAGTGTCTCAGTACTACTGCTGCATTTGTTCACCCTCTGTCCCTCCAGTTACGTGCTCTCATTTGCTTCCCCAAGACTGATAAACAACAAAAAGAATACAAAACGAAAAAAGCTCTCTTGTTTCCATTTCCTGGAGTTCATTTTGATAAATATTATTTTATATAATCAGAGGCACACTGGCCACTTTTTCTTTTTGTACATAGGCTTGATCTTGGAATGTAGTCCAAGCTGGACTCGCCATTCCAATGATGCAGCCTCCTGAGTGCTGGGATTATGGGCCTGTCCCACCATGGTGGGCTCCTAATATATATATATTGTATAGTTAATACTGGAGCAAATATACCTTGCCTTACAAGTTGTACAAACTTATTTTTCACTGAAAAAAAAACCTCAATTATAGAAGAAAGTAATACTCTATAATAAAAGCTAACTCTAATATGTGTGTGTATCTTTACCCCAGTAAATAGAGAGAGAGAGTGTGTGTGTGTGTGTGTACTGGTATTGAGGCTTGAACCCAGTACCTTGTTCAGCTTCTTTTTTTGGTTCATAGCTGACACTCTTTCACACGAGCCAAGTTTCCAGTTTTGGTTGGTTAATTGGAGGTAAGTCTCATGGATTTGGGAAGTGTGACACTAATGCAATTCCTATTTCAAGTCCTATACGTCACCCTTCCAAGTAACTAGGATTATAGGCATGAGCCACCTCAGCCCAGCCCACTAGGGACAATTCTGAAAGACTAAGTAATACACATATAAGGAAACTAAAATTCTATTTTTTCCAAATCAGGTACTCATGGCAAGCAATTCAATCATGAAATATGTCTGTCTAAATTGAACCCTATGTAGTAGCCTGTGTACTAGGATATACATTTAGGAAGGACACACTTAGGGGAGTAGTAAGTATTCTGAGATAACAAATGAGGCATCTCATGAGAACTTCAGTGCACTTACTTGATGGGGCGCACACTATGCTTGGAATTCTGTGCATGCACATGATTTGCACAAATTTAAGCAACAGGGCTTCAGAAAATGCCCTGATTCACTTTCCTGTTTATGGCTGTTTAAAAAAAAATCCACCTGGCTACATGGAAAAGCCAATTCTATTTTAGAAATAGGAAGTTAATGTACATATTCTTTTAACAAACTTGCATTGGATACATCTACTACTACAGATCTGCAGTATGGCCCATATTTATTACTGAAACCACTGGGCTGGTTTCCTTTGTTTCTGTGTGGAGAGTGGGAAAGACAGAGAGGTAAAACAGTTAATGTAATTAAAAGCTGTGGTCCAAGGATGATTGCCAACAATTAGTTTTTAAAAAGACAACATGATCTATAAGAGGTAATTTCATTGTTGGGGCCTTCGGGGCTGACCAGAGGACAGGCTCAAACAAGTAATTATGTTTAAAAGAAATAAGCTATTCAATTTATATTTCTGTCTAGGTCACGTTTTTTAATGACACCCACTGAAGAACGGTAGTGTCTAATTCCTTATTGTTTGCTTTACAGCCTTTTACACACAGAGACACACACACACCGAGCTTACCTGATACACATACAACAAATAAACCACCCAAGCAGATTCTACAAGTATTGCCTGCTACGTGGAACCTTTCTGTCCCCCAAGTTCCAACCCCGCAGAGCAGGCTACAAAAGCGTGTGCCATGACAAAACAAAAACCAACAACAACAAAAAAAACCCCACCACGAAACCACCAGACAAAAAACAGCCCTCCCACAGGCATACAAAGACCAGCTTCGGAGGACGCCCCTGACAGGCCAAGTTCTCCGCAGGCACTTGTGGCAGCCGCCGACCGCTGGCGAGGCAGCTGTCACGGCCCGTCACACACGCACTCGGGAGAGCCGCGAGCCGCGGGGCCGGGCCGGCCGCGGGCGCACCCCGCCCCCCCGCGGGGAGAAGACCAGCCCAAATCCCGCCCTGGAAAACCCGCACAAAGCCGCCGCCGCCACCCAGGAAAAGGACCGACAGGCCCCTGAGGAGCGGCTCCCAGCCACCACCAGGGCTTTCTCCGGCCATTTACGGGAGCGGGGTCGCACGGTCTCGGCAGTGTCCCGGGCCAGGCAGGGGCGCCCGGCTGCTCCCCTCGGGAAAAGCGGGGCAGACCCCGCGGCCCCACCTCCCTCCCGGCC